ATCATCTCATAGAATTATTCACTGCTCCTTTTTCGAAAATTGTACTCGAAAAAATATGTTTTGGTTTTTTTATAGATTAATCCAGTCCCAAATTTGTAATGGAAAATGGACAAAGGGAAATAGAGAACATTTTAATAAAAAGAAAGAGAGAATTTGTGTTGGTTTGATTTTTTTTTTTTTCAATTAAAGAAAATTCTCATGACATTTAAGTTTATATCATTTAGTAAGTACGAAATAAATTAATATTTGAGCGTTAATGTTTCTTTTGATAAAAAGTTTGTTAAATGCAAAATGAAATTAAAATTTTTAATATTTTTTTCCATAAAATGGACTTAATGGTTTATCCCTTACTATACCATGCTTGAAACTATCCGTCAGTAGAGAGGGCATTATATGGTAATGGGTCAAATCTTCTCGGCTGAAACTTTACCGGACAAAAACTTCTCGTGGGCAAAATTTCGCTTATGCCAAACTTAGCATGAACAAATTCAAAAATTTTAATAGATATTTTTATTACGACTGAAATAGAATGAAAACTCTTAATGGTAATTTAGAAAGGAAGTGAATGACTTAAAGGTTTGAATTTACAATTAATTTAAAAGAGAGTAAAAAATATTAAATTAATTATATTTTATAGTTCTTTTTATTATTTTAATTTAACAATTGTTAAAGAATTTTTATTCAGGAGGAGTTGACATTTTTTTTAACTTGCATAGTGGGCAAGTTTTTTTAACTTGCAACTTTTAGCGAAAAAAAGTTGGAAACCTATGAATTGCATGATGCAAAATAATTTATTATTAAAAATGAATATGTTCATTAGAGTGTTTAATCCATGCTAGAAAATCGCTGAAAAATAATCTTACCCTCTGCAAAAAAAAAAAAAAAACTTTCTAGTTTCAGTTTTGTTTGTTAAGTTCTAAATAGGTGAAGTTTTAGATCAGCAAAGTTTTGCACCCTCAAAGTTATGGATCGCTGAAGTTTAATACATCGGCGAAGTTTAATACAACTAAGATTTGACCACGAAGTTTTGACCCGACCCTAATTTACAATCCAGTAGCCTTTAAAGACTCTTTTTTTTTTTTTTTTTTTTTTTGTTNTTTTTTTTTTTTTTTTTTTTTTTTTTTTTTTTTTTTTTTTTTTTTTTTGAGAGAGAGAGAGAGAGATTTTAATCTTGAGTGTAGTTGGTACCATTTATAATGCAAGTTTTTATTTCTTGTAATTGCAAGTTTTTATTTTACACTTGTTACCTGAACAAAAACAATGTTAATAATCACGTCCTTAATTAAAAAAAAAAAATGCTTAGAAGGGTCGAGGGTCGTTAAACATCGCTGGATTGGAAAATCGCGTACGGTGCCTGGGTTCAGTCTCTGATTGGGTGCTAATTTTATGTTATTCAATTATGGGTACTAAATTTATATTATTCAATTATGCTATTACAAATGGGTACTAAATTTATGTTATTCAATTATGTTATCCAATGGGTTCTAAAGTTATGTTCTAAAATTATGTTATGTGTTATTATAATTTATTTTTTTATTGCATATTTTTGCTCTTTCTCGAATGATAAATCAATATTTGAAATGCATTCTTAAACGTTTCGTATATCAAAATTAGTTTGAGATTTATTATTAATTGCAGTAATGAACAATAATAATTTTTCAGATTCTATGCTCATTCTGTAGAGTGAATCTATAAAGTGCACGATCAAAAGTACACTACAACTTTAAGAGCACGCTGTATTTATATGAATAATGGAATTAGGATTCGATGTTCTTACCTATTTTCAAAACATAATATTAGTTATCGAAACAGTAATAATAATATAGAATTTCTTATTGCAGATTGAGAAAATATTTTAAAAATTTATGAACGTTTCGTTAGCATTTTAGATTTTTTTTTTTTAAAAGTGGTGTTTTTTTTAAAGAAGTGAATTTTTTTAAAATTTAAATTGTGACTTTTTGACTATAAACATTAAAAACGGCACAGTTCTGAAAAAAGCCCGAAACCAAAATTTATTCAGGGCATGGGTTCAAAACCGTCAGAGAAAAATTTTGTTGCATATTTATCATCCGATATTTATCAGATAATTTTTATCAGAATTTAGATAGACTCAAAAATATTCAATATTTTTTTTTATATTTTCGAAAACATCAGAATATTTGCGTTCATTATTACTTACTTTTTTAAATCAACTCCGATGTAAAATAGAAAGACATCACATTAAGTATCAGTTATTAGTCTTTTATTATTATTATTTTTTTTTTTGTTCCCATTCAAAATAAACTGTATGACTTTTATAAATATTTTCTTTAAATATATGTTTGAGCTTTAATCAGAAGATTTAATAAATTTTTGAAATTAATTTTAACATAACAGAATTTCACTTTTTAAAGAAAAAGTGAATAAATATAAACTCATCAGAAGAAAATTTTCTGATTAAAGCTCGCGACAGTGAATCAATGGTTTTTACATTTGTATTGAAATGGAAAGTTAGCCGTTGCATTGATTGCTAATAAAATAATAAAATATTTTTATTAGTTTCATATAAAACGTAATAAAAATTAAATAATTAGTTTAATTTAATTAAAATTCAATATTAAGAAAGATTTTAAAAAAAAGTTTAAGAAATTAAAGAAATTTTAAAAGCTAGGAAATATGTGGCATCACAATATTTATACAATATCAATTGCAATATATATGTATATATAAGTTCAAAATGTAGAGAAAACAAGGGAAAAATTACAGAACAATGAAAAAATGGGGAAAAAAATAACAAAAAAAAAAATACTGGAAAAAAAAGGAACATAAAATTTTAAAAAATCCGGAAAATAAAAGATATAATCTTTTCATCAACTCACACGATTATATCCGAAAAAGAAAGAATATATATATATATATATATAACAAAATAAATAAATGCAAAAAAAAACACGATGAAAATTAAGAGAAACAATAAGTTTCATTTATTGCGCATAAGCTGCAAGTAAACAGAACTCATTAGATAAGTTCAAAATGAAGATAAAACAAAGGAAAATTACAGACATATGAAAAAAAGGGGGGGGGAAGAAAAATAATAATGGGAAAAAAAAAACCAACTGTAAAAAAAAAAAGGATAAAATTTTTTTAAAAATCCGGAAAATAAAAGATATTAACTTTTTATCAGCCCACACAGTTTCACAGTTTTTGCGGATATAATCGTGTGGCTGATGAAAAGATAATATCTTTTAGTTTCCAGATTTTTAAAAATTTTTTTATCTTTTTCCAGTTGTTCGTTATTTTTTTTCTTTATTACTTCTCTTCCCCCTTTTTTTTCATGTCTGTAATTTTCCTTTGTTTTATCTTCATTTTAATCTTTGCATTTGGATTAATAATTATTATAATTATAGTAAGTAATATCTTAATTGCTATAATTAAATCTTAATTATTAATTAATTCAAATAAAACTTTTTCCCATAGAAAATTTCAAATCGCAATACAAATGTATTATAACTATTTCATAAAATGCAAATTCAATTTAAGAGTCATTTTATAGTTTGGGGGAGGATTAAATGAGCAACGAATTGGAGAGAAGTTGAATATGTTTTATCGTCTTTGCAAAAAAGAAATAGGTAAGGGTTAATTTTCTTAAACTACACCTGAAGCAACATTTCATGATTCCGACTATCTTTTTAAATAAATATATTTCATCGCAAATAAAACTTTTCATTACTTTAATAAAATAATTTTTACTGTCTCGCTTGCTGTTTCGTTAGTAATCAGTCAGACAAAAAGTATCGCTGCCAGAAAGAAATTATTTAAATCTGTTTTATGGGCTTTTATTCTACTCACAGAGATTTTTAATTGAAATTTGGGCTAGGTTTTAACGCGTTCATTGCTCACAGAGTGCAGGTGGTTATACTATCTGTTGAGGTTTGAGTTCGAGATTAGTTAGATAGTTTGAGTTTCCTGTGCTGGCAACATCTTATTGTTTTTATATTCTTTTTTATGTAAATAAAAGTTAAGTTTTCAGTTTATTCTACGTGACTTTCAGTCTGATTTGCTCTCAACAAAATCCAACACTATCTATCATTAATAAGTGGTAATGTCATAAGGTAAAATCAAAGTTAAATCTCCTAATTTTAGCAATAATTTTTACAATCAATTTTACAATAAGTTTATTTTTAATTTTACAATAAGTTTATTTTTAATTTTACAATAAATTTATTTTAATAAACAATATGTATTGTCATGATACACATATTATCTGGCTGATGTGCATCTATTTAATCTACTCTATTAACACAAATTGCAGGAGGGGGAAAGAAAAAAAAAAGAGTTTGTAACGTGTTATTACGGGATCTGGTTACGAGCTTGATAATTTGTATTATATATATATATATATATATATATATATATATATATTACTTTTCATTATTTGTATTTTTTCCCCAAAAAACATCTTTAGCTCAAATTTTAATTTATTTAATTAATAAATAATTAATTAAATTTAATTAATAAACCCTCGAAAACCTTTTTTTAAAAAAAATTTATGATTATCATTTTGATGTTATTATATTGTACAATAATTTGATTTGGTCAAAATTTGGTTATTGTTGATCACGAGCATGAATTTTTTAAGTTTAGTATAATCCTTATTATCCCATGGTATTATATATCGGATTATCGGGAACACGATTATCCGATATAGTCCGAAAATCGAAATTGTTGAATTATAGGGCTATATGTTTTAGTCGTATTTATCAGTATATGATTTAAAAAAAAAAAAAAAAGCGAGTAAAATTAATCAGAAAAAGTTGTAGATGGAATAATTTTAAAAAAAAAGTAAAAAAAAGAAAAAAAAATCACGGTGGCATTCTATGTTTTAAATTTTTAAGGCAATCATAAAAAAAAAAGTTACAATATCACGAAAAAAAATTATACAATTTTTGTTTCCTCTTTATCTGTTAGGAAGCAAAAAATTAATGAATAGAATGTTAAAAACAAGAAAAAACATTTAATACTTAGTTTAAGGATTTCAATGGAAAGGTTTCCGTATCGATGCCTGCTCCAAAATACTGGCTAAGTTTATGAGATATCCAACCGGGCACTGCACACAAGAAACGGAAAGAAAAAAAAAAATAAATTAAATAGACCAAGGGAAAAATATCAACGGGTCAAGCCAACACCACCGAGATAGGGGGTGTTGGCCCCCTATCTCGGTGGTGTTGGTCAAGCCGTCACATATATCCCTCCATTTCTTTTTTAGATAGCGTGAGCAGGCACCGTTATGGAAATATGTCCAGTTAATTTTACGTACCTTCGAAAAAATGCAGAGGAATTGGATGATTTCTTCGAAATAAGGAATATTAAACAGAGACTCCAAACAGATCACATAAAATGGAACAAAAACAGCTGCAGTCTGTTTAATTGGCAGAGTTCATCTGTAGCAGGGTCGAAGTACCAAGGTCGTAGACGTAGGGGGAGAAAACTTTGGGGACCAGTCTTACCCTCAAACTTGATTTGTTGTTTACAAACTCGTTACTTACTCCATTTTTTTTCCCGCTTGAAAAAGAATATTATTATCCTTTTTGCAATTTAAAATATTTTTTTTTCAATGTAAAATATTTAAAGTGAATGTTTTTATAGTGTGTCAGTTATTTCTATCTGCTTGTAATTTTTATTTTTAAATTTTTGCTTCAGTTTTAAAATAAACAAATAAGATTGTTTTGGAGTAACTGTGTAAAATATAATAGGGGAATTTAAAATTTTTTTTTGTGATTTATCTTTTCAATGTTTTTTAATTAGTAAATGTTGTTTAATGAGAAGAATTTTTTTTTTTTTTTTAAGATTTGTAATAAATTATAAATTTTAAAATTTTGCTGTAAGTCACGGTGAAAATTTTATTATTTTTGGAAATTTGTGGCGAGTCTTGAATAAAATCTTATTTTTTATTTTTTGGTTGTTTCGATAGGAATAAGGGAAAGTTTATAACTGTTTTTATTAAAAAATATTTTTATATGACCCTTTATTACTTTTTTGGGCATTTTTAGAAGCTATGAAGGAAAAATTAAAGTTTATAATTATCTTTGAAATTTTTGCAATGAATCTTAAAAGAAACAACATAATTATTTTTTTACACACTGTGATGGATCTTTGTTTTTGGAATGTTGCGACGAATCATGAAGGAAAGCTTATTTTTTGGGGTATTTTGAGGGAAATAAAGTAAACTTCATTATTAATTTTGATATTTTTTGATGAGTCCTAAAGGAAATTTAATTATTATTTTTGGGAAGTTTGGTTTAAAAAGATGTTAAACTAAATAGTTCAACTCGAATGATATTATCTTAGAAGTAGCACTATTTTAAGGTTACATTAAATTTGATATTATTATATACTTCGAAATTCTTACAGTGTAGATGTATTAGTTTAATTTAAATCGTGTTTAGTTTTAAATCTTATTTTGATTTAGTTTGTGTGTAAATAGTAAATAATATATTTAGTATTATGTAAAAGCAGTCCTTAACATGTATTTTTAGAATCCTTATCAAAGGTGTAAACAAAACAGTATACTTATTTGAGTGTTGTAAATTAATTTTTAACAGTTGTAAAATAAAAAAAACGTTAAAAAATCATATTGAATTACAATTGATTACCTCAAATGTAATTAACTTTAAAACATGTTAAATTAGTCTTCTTTCCACTCCTATGTGTTTCCTCTGTCAATCAAGCCTCATCAGTTGTTTATTACTCTGACCGTCCTACACCGGATTTATCAAATTTCGAATGCGTTTTGTTTCTTTTTTTCATCCGTTAAATATTAATTTGTGAGTTCCAATTTGTTTTTTTTATTTTTTCTTAAACNTATGGTGGAAATAGTAATTAATACGAAATAATTATTAGTTAAATAAAGCGAGAATTACATAGAATCGGTAGACAATTACGAAAGCTTAAATACGATATAATCATCTCTATCGCTTCATTAAAAGGCCCAAAATAATGCGAGAAGATAATGTAATTTCATAGAAAGAGTGATTTGTTTAACCTTAATATCGTTTACCCTTTAGTAGAAAAATTAATTAAGCATCCGTTGAAGCCTCTTTTGTTGTTTGGGGATGCTTTCCTAGAATATTCTTTATAAAATTCGAGGCTGTCCGTTGTTTAATATTCATGCTTCACATAGCGTTTGATTGATTTATTTGGCTGATGGTGCATACAACTCGGGTATCTGAAACTTCCTTTATTTAAGGACAATAGCCCCTCCCCTGTGAAGTTGACGATTTTGGATGCTGATCAAGATAGTTAGCTTCTCTGTTTCTTCGTGGGAGGGGAAATTAAAACCTAATTTAGTAATTAATTTTGTTACGTTTATTCTAGATTTTTTTAACTTAACACTTTGACCCAGATTTTTTTTTATTAAACACAATTTTCATACTTTTGTCATTATTTTGTAATAATTTAGGCCAAAATATGTGAATATTTAGCATTTTAATAATTTTTGATTATGAAATACAGCATGGAACATTGGTGTATTTTTTTTGTTGCGTTAATTAGCTTAAGATTCTCTAAACACGGCTAATTTAGAAACAATAATTTTTCAGATTTCGAGTGGTTTAGATATAACAGAAACAGTTATTCATCTATTAAATTTCATTAATTTACGAAATCAACTATTGATAAAATCGACACCTCTGGGGGTACTGGATTGGTTAAAATTACGATCTGTGGATGAATGAATGGATGTATGAATGGGTCTGCCCCTATAAATGTGTGAGACGTATGGTGTGGCATAACTCGAATTCTTGGCCATAGATGGCGCCACTGGAAAAACAAGAACAATCGCACCCCCTCTGCAACAACAACAACTATTGATAAACTTTTGAATACGAATGAAAGAAATTTTGAACTCTTTTTTTAAAATTTTATTTTAATGCAAATATAATTATGAAAATTTAACAGGTTTTTTTTAGTAACTGTTAGAATTTTTTTATAATTAGAAAAAGGCATGGTATTATTTTGCTTGTAATTTGAGCTTCAGAAAGAAATATATTGAAGGGACATTGACGTCCCATCTTTGCCAAGATTTTTGGTGAATTGATAATGTTGCAACCCTATTATAACTCAACTTCTTTTAAAAGACAGAAAGTATTTTGTATAATGATAGTTCTTCGCAAACAATGACACACTTATGTTTTTTCTTCAAAATTTTAACAAAAAACATTTACGGTATTATAATAAAAAAGACAATTACAAAATCAATATTAATACTGTTTATGCTAAAATCTCAAGAATTTTATGTACGTAGTATTCCGTATAAATTCACATGAATATATGCATGAAAAAGAAAATCTCTTGATAATAAGTATAACTTTTTTCTATCTTTATAAAGGAAATTAAAAAAAAGAAAAAAAAAAAAAAACTGCTCATCGCTATAAAATTTGAAGTTAACATACATCACGTGATGAATTTTTTAAAGCTACTATTAACTCTATGGGGAAATGCGAAAAAGTTTATTTAAAAAATAAAAAAAAAACATTTGAAGATTTTTGAAGTTATTTGAAAAAATAACTTTTGAGATAGAAATTAAACTATGTTAGTGTTTTTGGTTGCATATTACTGGGATATGTTAATCGCATGCAAAATTTTTTATACGTTCTGTAAGGTTATACCAAATAAAAAGATGACATGGTTTTTAACGTCAAAAACACTGTAGCGATAGCAGCGCCTTAATAAAACAAGATCAGAGAAGGGCGCCGCAATATTCGTATCTGATTAATCAGTTAACATGAAAGCATTTATAGTGAATGCAAAGTCGAGCTAAGAAGGATGTGTCCAAAATTTTACAACGCTAATAATTTTATAAATACTGAGATAAGGTGATTCTTTACTCATGAAAGTTTAAGAGCTTCTCAAGATTTTAAAAATCGTCATTCTCTGATTATCACTATTCATTTCATCAACAATGGATTCATTGGATGTCATAATAATAGAATAGAAAATATAGTAAAAGTTCGATATAACGGGTACGGCGTAAAATCCGCTATAATGACATTTTTCCAATTTACCGTTGAGGTTTTACTTATAAAAGATACAAAAATTGTATGTTCATATTGAGTCAAAAATTTCTTACGCTTTTGCGTCAAAAGAATTTTTTTAAAAACATTTTTCTGCTGTTTAAATGAGCAAAATTGTACAAAAAGAAAAGAAAATATTGTTTCACCATATTTCATTCTTTCAATCTCCAACTTTTAAGTTGCTAAAGCAAATATATGTGGGCAATTACCGTTATATTCCTTCGAACAAAAGATGAATATTTTGCTATTTTCAGCATTTCTACAGCAAACTTCAAATAAGAGATGTGTCTTTTGTTGGCTTCTTATCTATGATGGGCCCTTTATTTCCTTTCTTGACAGCTTGAAATCAGCATTCAGTGTTATCAGTGACATCAAAAACTAATGCACACTGTTACACTGCAGTCTTTTTTTATTGCCATTTTAAAATTAAATGAGCATTGTTGCTTATAGCGACGACCTCACCATAACGACAGTTCCAATTGCCATTGTGGATCGTCGTTATAACGGAATTTTACTGTACATATTCTTAATAAGCACAACAGCGATTGACTGTACAACTAAAATCACGCGACTTTAAAATCAGAGCTAAGTTTACGTTTCGCAACTCTACTGAGCAATATTCTACTTTTGAGTAGAATTAAACCCTAATAAGTAATTGTCTTTGTTAAATAGGATTGCCTGCTAATGTACGAAATTATTTAAAGATTTTAATGAGTGTTTCAGGATTATAATAGATGGAAAGGCACTGTGTTTGCATCGATCAACATTGAAATGTTCTGCTTTTCTTGACGCGATCTTTTCCCGTGTTCATTAGTCATTTATTCAGTCAGCCAAAAATTTGGCCGATTTGGATGTTAAGGACGTGGCGTAAAGGTACATTTTGCTGTTTGGCTAGTAAATTTGTTATAACTTGTGTATTAAAATGATTTAAAAAATAAATAAAATCATTTAAAATAAAGCACAAACATTGCTAAAAAAAGACAGAAAGTTAACAACGTTTATGGACTATTTTTTATTTTATTTTATATCCGTCGTTGAACAGCCGATCTAATTTTTTTTGGGTTTACAACTACTAATGTTCAACTCCGTAGCCTTTTCATTTTGAACCCAATCCAGAAGACATGGGAACTCCTGGATCAAGTATTGGGAGAAATTTCACCTTCGTGGAGGACTTTTTGATGGAACTAATCCGCATTTGCGTTACATGGAGAGGAAGACCACAAGAACCTCCCACGATTAGCCTGACGGTAAGGGGACTCTAACCCATGATCCGCCTGCCACTGAGGATATTTTACGTCAGCACTGTGGTCGGTGCAAGCCGGATGCGGAATTCAAATCGACCAACCATCGCTGGGATACGAGCCCGGTTCACCTCATTGGAAGGCGAACGTTCTATCCCCTGAAACATCACGTCTCTTTATGGACTATTTTTTTATTTTATTTCCGTCGTTCAACAGCCGACCCAATTTTTTGCGTTTACGACTACCAATGTTCAACTCCGTGGCCTCGTAATTTTGAACCAATCTAGAAGACAAAGAAACTCCTGGATCAGTACCCCCTGAGGTTTTGATTTGTTCTGGGAACATGGAGGACTTTGCGATTCGACAGATTTAAAGTGCATCACGTCACCGTTTACTACACGGGGAGTCTTCGGCCGGCTTGGGATCGAACCCACGAACTCTTGGTCATGGGCCCTGTGCCCTGCCAACTAGGGTTATCCCGGTCCTCTTTATGGACTATTGTAACTATCATTATTTATTTTCTGTCATATATTTAAATTATTTTTCCTTTATCAAATTAATAATTATGAATCGTAGTTGGTGTCGCAGATCAATTTTAAAGCAAGAGATTTTTTTTAAAAAGGTCTGATGAGTTATAGTTTTATTAAAGACGCGAAAGCTACAAGTACACACAATCCATAATTTAAGACTAGAACGCGTAGAAAATAAGAAAAGAACACACAAAACAAAAAAAATAAAAAATTATTTAAAAGGTTTTAAAATAAACGAGGAATAGAAACTATTAAAAATTATCAAAATTGTTTAAAAAAATTAAAAACTTATTAATAATTTAGAAAAATTAACATGAAAAATAATGTATCTCTTTATCAACCCACGCAATTATATCCGCAAAGAGTAGTACTTTCTAATATTGTATTATTATAGCTAATGAAAAATAAGATGTAAGATACAATTGTGATTGCGAAAGATGGGATTGCGTCAATTTATGTCAGTGTTTTGAAAATCTTTTCACAGTTATGTAGGAACATACATTTTTATAATCAATTCCGTATCTTTTATTCTAGTTCTAATATTCGCAAAAACTATTTGTGTCATATTTTTACTCTTGTTTCATTCTGCAATATCATAAATTTTATTCTAAACAGACAAAATCTACATTATTAACGCTTTTTCGTAATTATTTTTCTATTAGTTAAAAAGGATCAATAATGCGTCTCATCCATATAAATACCTATGGTATTCTCCATCGAAATAACAACACGGAGCACGGTAAAACACGGATTTACTTAACGAAATGGACTTTTATCTTCATTAACAGACGACATCCTTAGTTTCTAAACGTTTGAAGAACTAAAATGAAACAAATAACCCAACTATTACAGCGAACTTTATAAATTCAATTAAAAAAAAAGAAAGAAAACCATAAACTTTTTTTATTTAATATTTTCTTGGATTAAATTATATTTTTACAAAAAATTCATATTGGAAATAATTTATGGCTATAAAAAGTTAATCCAGCAATAAAAATAAGATAAATATATGACAAAATTTAGTTAAGCATACTGATTTTAAAGAAGTTTATTTAGAAATATATTTGGGGTGACAAAATACATTTCATGTCTACGTTACAACTTTGAAATATGTGGATTGTTAAAGAACAGTTTTCCCACATGCCATCACGAATTGGTGGAAATTGAAAGATCGAATTGAATGAAGACATTTTAATGAAAATGTCGTCTTCCAGAGTCTTAATGTACTTTTATCATAAAATTTTCAAAAAAAAATAAATAAATAAATAAAATAAATGGGAAAAGGAGACCGGTTGCTTATTTAAGTCACCATTGTTTTGTTGATTCGCCATGTGGCGAGTGGTTTTTTTCTAGTCTATAAGAGAGAAACACCCATACAGACAAACTATTTACCTTACTATTATAGATATTTATGTTCGTAGAGTGGATTAAATCATCACTTTTCTTCCTTCAAAAGTATTATAATATCCCGGCTGTTAAACGGAATTGAATGTTAGCAGATGTAGGCGTTGAAATAGAAAATGGCGATGACAGATTTAATTAGAATATCCGACTGATTTAGTTTCGTCCATTGTTGATTACTTAGTACTCGAGAGTGCCATAATGCAGTCTGTGCAATCAACTATACGCGATATTATTACCTTAAATACATCGAAAATAGATATTGATAATTGCGTTACATGATTATAATTACGTAGTATTTTATTTTAAATATCGCTCTGTTATGCATGGCCGTTCTTACTACTTATCAAGCAATAAAGTTAAAGAAAGATAAACAAATTGAGGGTATATTTAAGGAGAAAACAAAAACGTAAACGCTTTTAAAATTTAACGATACATTATTGATGAAGGGGAGACGAAAAGCATAGAAACCTGTTTATGTACCAGAAAAAAAGAAAAAAGAACAGAGTTGAAAGGTGAATATTAGAAACACCTACATGTTTCGTGTCGCAATCTAACTGGTTTAGAAGTTTTTCATCTCTTCGACCTCTTTAGTGATTTGATAAATTTCGACTTTATTCCTCGCCTAAATATTGATTTGAAGAAGGTGAACATGTAAACATAAAAACTTATATAATTGCCCGATCAAACACAGGGGTGGTGAAATGTGTTAGAATAGGTTGGTTCTAATGTTCTCAATCTCTTTTTCAGATTCCAGAGATAAATTAGAGTTAGATAGTGGCCTTCTTCTAGCCGTACCAATATCTGAAGAATTTTATGAAGACGGTCTTGAAACGGAATCTGTTATTGAAGAAGCTTTAAATGATGCCAAGTAATAACTGCCATTTTGAAATTTCACATTTGTATTTATTTATTATTAATTTGATTTGTATATTGCGTACCATATTGATTGCATCACAACCAAAAGAAACAAGATGTTTTGAAATTCTTGATCAGTAAATTAGGGCTTGCTTTATTCTTTTATTTTCTTAAAAGCAAGAACACAGATTATAAATAAAAATGAGTGGGAGAGGTGTTCAGAAGGTTCTGAAATAGAATTTCACGTAACATTTTCAAATTAAATCGAATCTATATAATCAATGTCTCTTCATAGGTAAAATAACTCCGTATGACACGTTATTTCATTAAAAATGTTGTAATCTTCCTATCATAACCTAAACTCACTCTCTTATTTATAGGTAAACAACTGAATAATCTGGAAAAGAAAAAACGAGAACGATGTCATAAAGGAAATTCCATTTTGATAGAGAATCTTTGGGAGGGCTTACTACTAACACACCACCCACACTCGCAGAAATCTCACTTTTGATGATTCAGCAATCCTTGAAGAGTATTTCGTTAGTTTTGAGAACCATTTCTCCACGAAATCACGTGATTAGTGATCGTAGTGCATTGCGGGAGATTGTTAAAGAGAATAACAAAACTAGAATAAAGACTAGACAATCGAAATGAAGGGACGAATTTAGTCGACCTTTTGTAGGGTGGTCAAGGAGTTGATCTCGTATAAGAAAGATCCGGGGTTCGAATCTGTCACCGGATATAGATGTAATTTATTTATCGGTTCATGTTGTGTTGTGCCACCTATATGGTGCTCTCATTAAAGTGATCATTAGAAAAGTTAGATAAATTAGGCACTACGCTGCGATATTAGTTTTTTGGAGAAAAAAATTGAATGACGAACTATTGACGAAATTCGTAAGACAAAATTCGTTTCCTTCAAGATGTAACGATAGTTATTTCATTACTTTGACGAAAGTTTTGCTCGGAGTATATACCAGGAAACAGTTTCGTCAAAAATTGTGATAGTTGAGTGTCCACTTTTAACAGTGCAACCATAGCCAGCTAAGCACCATTTTTCAGGGCTCTATCTTTTAACAGTGATGACAGAAATGCCACGTAATTTTGACCCCGGTCAGACTCGCAATCTCGGCCTTCCATCATCAGAGTGAGTGACGCTTTTATTGACTGCGCCTCGAGAGCAGAGATGCCAACTGCTCCGGACACGCCGAAATAATTAAAAAAACGGTAAATAACTACAAAGTAAATTTTGAAAATATTTGACGACTATTTTTGCTTGCTTTTTAAAAGGTATAGCATGACATAAGTACTAAAAAGTGGTGAAATATATAAGCCTACGAATTATTTAGAAATAGTGGTAGATAGAAATCTACTAAATTGAATTTATTAAACCCAGAATCACAATTGATAAACTACCTCTTTATAATATACATTTGTTATCCGGAGCAAGTTGGCATCTCTGCGAGAGCGCCTAGCCTTTAGAGCAGGGGTTTCCAACTTATATGAGGCCGAAGGCCACAATTAACACACAAATCAAATGGCTGGCCACAACTTTATCAAAATTTTATGTAGGACTCTTTTATGCTTGAAGGAACTTTAAATATTACTGTTAGATTTTTATCAAGTTGTACAAAACAAAAGTATTGAATTACAAATTAAAATAAGAAGTAGATTTTTAAAGATATTTAATTGCATATTAAAAAATGCGGGCTGCAATAACTTTAATGTGCACCCATGTATTAAACAATTAATGTGCAACAGATATCTAATTGTTTAGATATAAAACTTTAAAAAGGTTGGTATTAAAACTTACATAGTAGCACACAAAATGTTCAATGACAAAATTGAGGTTTGTCTGCTGCAACCTCCAGAGAAAAGATATATTTACGTTTTAAATTTAAAATTTACAAATGTGTGTGTAAATATTTTCGTCCAAAAGGAGTGGTTTCAAAAAGTTGAATCGGAGAATTCCTTCGAGAAAATTTCTGATACACACATGCTAAATTATATTCACAAAATACAAAAAAATGAAGTAAAAAAAAGCAACATACACGATTATTTTTGTATTTGAATAAATATTTTCTTGGATGCCGAACCTGAGAAATAATTTTTTTTGCATTGTTGGTATGATATATTTAACAGAAACGAAGAAATTAGGTTTTTATTAACGAGAAAAGTATTTTAAACCCATATAGATTTTTTACGAAAATTGTCCGCAAAAAAATGACAACTAATATATTTTAGTTCGTGGGCCACAAAAAAAGGCTTCGCGGTCCGGATGCGGCCCCCGGGCAGCCAGTTGGAAACCCCTGCTCTAGAGCTTACTACGGGGAGATATGAAAATTAGAAGATCGGCTTATAGCTTGCATAGAGGGAGAAATAAGAATTTTTTTTAAAACGATCCTAAGATAAAAATGATAGTAATCATAGAAATGATAGTAATCATAGAAATGACAGTAATCATAGAAATGATAGTCAAAATGAAATAAGAGATAATAAAAAAAAGGAAGTCGAGCGAGAAAAATTTGTGATGAAGAACACACATAGTAATGATTTTTCCTTATATTCATTAAGTCGATTCCATCTATTTATAGAAAGATTTAAAAAAAAAATCTTTTGTGAAGAAAGAAATTTTTTTTTCATTATTTCAGTTCAATAACTGAGTTTTATCATTTAAACTTTGAAGATTAATATTTAAACAGGAAGAACAATAGCTTTTTAAAAATTTTGTTTATCACTCTTGAAGAGAGGAGAAGGTGAACTTCAAATATTCCAAAACCAATTGGTTTAAGTGACACTATCAGAAGGTGCTTATAATAGTCGTTATTTTACTTCCTCACTATTTTCTTTGTAAATGGTTCTTTTAATCTTGCCTGTGGGGGTGAGAAGTTACAGACAGTGTCAACCTTCATCTATGTACCTCTTCATAAAATCGAGTTAACAAGTCTTATATACTAGTGAATAGGAATTGTATATTTGCAGTGGTAGAAACACAACATCGCCCATCATTCGTCAAGTTTTCATAACGTTTTTCTTTTTAATATTGATTTGCATCCCTCAGGGCCGGATTAAGACCTCTTGAGGCCCTAAGCACTGAAAATATTTTGGTGCCCCCCTCTAACAATTAAAAATACATCTGCTATTAAGGCACGAGTTTATTCTAAATATAAAATCAAAATTTTTTTAAAAGAAAATATTTATTCAAATAAAAAAAATTAAAATATGATCAATTGAAAACTTTTCAATTAATATTAAAAAAAAACTTCTGTTTGTGCACATGTACCATGTGCAAAAAAGAAAACACTTTGAATGACTTATGATCGAAAGTTTGAACTTTTATATACTAAGACTCAAAATACTTTAGAAAAACAGACACATCTTTTTCTAAAAAAAGCATAACTTTTTTTTTAAATGGTTCGAATTCTTGACTCTCGAAATATATAGCCATACCAAGAGAATTTTTTAAAACGAACTAAAAAATTTTAGCGCACAATAATAAAATTCATTTTCCTAAAAGTTAAGAAGTATTAACCATTTTATATTATTTTACTTAAGAGAATAGGCGAAAGAACTTTAAATTGAAAATTTAACAAATGTCATTTTAAATGACAAAATACAAAATTTAATGTGTATTAAATCAGTTAAATACAACTGAATTATTCAATTTTAAAAAAGTTATATATTTAACATTTAATTTCTCAAGAACTATTCGACAGATTTCGTTCAAATTTTGTATTTTACCATTTACATTTATGTTCTTTAAAATTATATAAAAATTTGTATATTTTTAAATTGAAAATTTTTCCGACTATTAATAATAAATAATTAAAAAAAAAAACTATTTTTGTCGGGAAAATCTTTTTAGGTAAATGAATTTTATTATTAGGTATAAAATTTTTTCAATTCGTTTCAAAAGTTCTCGAGACATTGCGAAATGCATGAAAACTGAAATTAAATAATGGAGCCCAAACTTTCAACCTAAAAAAAATTTTTGGGACCTTAATTTTCTTATTGCGAATATCATCCATATTTTGAGGGACAAATATTATCCAAATTTAACAACATACATATAGATATGTATAAATATAGGTAGAGGAAGCACGTTTGCCTGACTTAAAAAAATATCTTCTGCACCATCTAATTAGCATATTTTAAGATTGGCCCTTAAACCATTTAGATTGAGATCTAGAACCTAAGTTTAGATCCGATCATTAAATCAAGAGTTATTCAGGTTTTTTACTTTTTTTATTTTACGCACTGTATATAATACAACATACTTTTACAAATAATAATGCTTTTCATTATTTCTTTTTCTTTATTAAACCGAATATATTAATAATGATTGGAAGAGAAATGAGGGGGAAAAAATTGTGATGAGTAAATTTATAAATGCAACAATTATCATAAATGATACTATAAAATCTGGATTAAAAATCATAAATGAACTTATTTCATAATAACAACTCACTCTAGATTGCATCTGTGGAAAACAGAACTAATTACCTAATAAAATTATTACTATTTTGTTTAATATTTTGGACATTCTCTTAATTAGGTAACCTGTCAAAGGTACAGAAGAGTTTAGGAGCAATAAATAACTATCAATTAAATCTTAATTTGACTAGTAAAAAAATGACC